GTGGAGATAAATGCTGACCTATTTACGAAAAATCTTGTCAATATTATTTAAATGCCTAATTTACCGCTTTATAGGCGTAGGCCAAAACAACAGCGCAATTCCATTGGGGCCAAATTGCCCAAAACTGATACCAGTTTGAAGATACCGCTAATGCCACCTACTCATCATAAAAGGCATGTGGCCGGAATTGATGCTTCTGATATGCACCCTTCTGTGGAAATTTCAAGCAAGAATGGTAAGAAGGTCGATTTATTAAATTGTATACTGGCTGCTGCATACACCAATTTTGTTTAATTTAAAATAACAGGCGTAGTTGAATTTGGCCCCCTTTCCATTTTATTCAATAAAAAGATGTTGAGCTTATCAATAGTAATAATTTTAAGAACACTTATTTAGTAAAAGGGAGGTTACTTTTATATTTATAATTCATTCAATTGAGAGGGCTTCAAACTCAATAAATGAATTCGAATTAAGCTAATGCTGTCATTTTTAGGTTTAATTTCTAATTCCCTAATATTTCATTCTCAAGGTCATATGCATGCAAATGCCTAATTTCTCTTCACTCAAAGTCCACACAGAGAAGTACTGATTATGAAAGGATAGAAAGAAAGCCAACAACCTGTAGTAAAATAATAAAGATTAATTGTCATTTAAGATTTTTTATAACCAAAGGTACCTTCTCAAGGTAAAGGGGTCTGAATAACAATAAATAAAGGTCGGAATCCTGTAGCCTCTAGGTTGTAGCGGATTGCTACCTTAGTAAAGCCTGACCGACTCAGAAATCTATATGGCAGATTCTCCAACATCTAGCTAGACCGACTCAGAAATCTCCATGGCAGATTCTCAAACATCTAGCTACCGGCTCAGAAATTTCTATGGCAGATTCTCCAACATCTAGCTAGGAATCAGAAATCTCTATGGCAGATTCTCCAACCTCTAGCTAGAGAACAGCTAAGCTATAGCTCAGCTATAAAGAAAACAGACGTGTAGCACGGAGCGCGTTTATATCTGTGGCAGATTCTCCTACATCTAGCTAGACTCCCAGAACCGGCAGATTCTCCAACGTCTAGCTAGACTCCCAGAACCAGGGAGATTCTCCTACATCTAGCTAGACTCCCAGAACCAGCTAAACCATAGCCCAGCTATAAAGGAAACAGACGAGTAGCACGGAGAATTCTCCAACATCTAGCTAGACTCCCAGAACCAGCTAAGCTATGGCCCGGCTATAAGGGAAACGGACGAGTAGCACGGAGCACGTTTATTCAGTGAGTACATTACGGATAAAGTGTACACACAGGGAGCTTAATCATGTTCAGGATGGGGGCTTAGGTTAAACAGAGGTTGATGATTGGTCACTGTTTGTACGATCGCTACACAGAGTTGTACGGCCGCACCTCCCAATCCTAGCGAGCAGGCATGCAGGCATACGATGACGCACACAGCGATAACGTGTCCCACAAGGTCTATTAGCAAGTTGGCAGTAATGCCTATTTCCTCAGACACATTATACATTTATTGCTGATGTAGGACACAGTCACTTAGTTTGTCACGCAGAGTCAGGGGCGGAAAAGTCAATCATTCAAGGGAAAGTAATTTCATCCGTTAGACTAAATATCTGCTTTCAAGAGGAGGTATAAACTTCTATAATAACAGTTCAGATTGAAGTGGCCCAAGCCGAAAAGTAGTATGATTTTACTATTATATTAAGCACCTAACATGAGTGCAGTATATCGAGCTATTAGCAAAGATCAGGACAGCTTATTATACGTTTTCTTATATGAAATTTTCTTCTGGTACCCCATCTTCACAATTCACATCATTTTTATTCAGTAAAAATGGGAATTTGGTGGGGGGGGGGGGGGGGGGGGGGGGGGGGGGAAGGTGTGAGGGGTCGTCTTTTTTCATAGTTTTATCATTTATTCAATTATTTGAAGTAAATAGTTGATTTAATCCATTAATTACTTTAATAACCTAATGATGTCAATATTTTAAACTAATTCTTATTTTTTCTTTGTTTTTAGACTATTTAGCAGGATCCACACCACCGGGTGAGTACTTTAATAACTTTTAAGACATTTTGTTTGGAGATACTGCACCCATTTCAAATCACTTTTTATGCCGCCTTAAATTTGATTCGACTAGGATTTTGATATATTTTTTTTGCAACTCAGTTATAGTGTTTGAGTATAAAAGTAAAGCATTGAATCTTCAATAGTGCGTATAGAACTGACATATTCAGTAAATTTATTTATTTATATTAAATGGCAGACGTTTTGATGACTGCCATTAGTCCTTTAGTTGACTTCAGGCTTCACAAAGGGGAAGGAACATCAAAGTGAAAAAAAATCGAGAGGGGAGGGGGAGGAACAGAAGAGTTTTAAAGAAGAAGTTAGAAAAGGTAGAAAAAAGGTGAGGTGAGTACTGTGGTAGTGGTCGAATATGACATACAGTGGGGTGTTGGTAATTTGAAGTCAGAAGTCAATTGCCAGTTAATAGACTTTTTTGCCGAATGAGTATACGTTGCCCAGGGTGCACCACGTGGAGGTAAGTCTATCACACACCCCACGTATTCAGTAAATAATCATTTTATTAAGAAAATTTTATAGTTTTAAGCAGGGTTTAGGTATATTGCTTCCCACTTACCAAATTTCGTGTCTATTTAGGCTTTGTCTAACATGTCTTATTAGAATGACTCTTGACTAATAGAAATCAATGCTAGCTATTGAAAAGCTGTCAGACTAGGGC